GGTGGGGCCGCGGGTTGCGCAACAGGCCCTGCGCTAGGCTGGCCGACTTGGTCGTCCGTCCGCCGGACGCCGGGTCCCAAATTCCCGGTGACCGCCGCCTTGGTAAAAGCGACCGGCCTCCGACCCGCCGTCCCCAACCGCGTCACCTGACCTGAGCTGCTGCCCTGGCTCCTTCTGGGGCTCGCCTTTCTAACTCACGTGTACTACCTGCAGCTACCTAGCATTTAGCGCCTCCGGCTCTTCAGGACTTCAGGAGTTCCCACCCATCCCCCACCCAGATGACGGCTTTGAAAGCAGAGTTCGCTTCTCTAGTGGAAGCTCGTAGGCTCGAGATTTCCCTCCGGGTAACTCGGAAGCCGGGACAGCAGCCTGACTAGTGCCCCCAGCGGCTCCGAGCCGGGCGAGGCACCGCGCCGAGCAATCATCATCCGTGACCCTAAGAGCAGCCTTCATTCTCGCACTGCTTCCTAGCTCCCTGATTTCTAAAAATGCTCGTTTTCTACGCGGTTAACCAGAGGGCCTTCTCCCTTAAAATAACTGCCGGGCTCTGTTTATCTTACTCCATCTCACTACCCCCACTCAGTTTCTAACTTTTTTCCTTTAATGTTGGTCACAAATTTAGTATCTTCTCTTATCCTTGGGGACAACAGGGTGCTTTTTCGAAGTCTTGCACTGAATGTTTGCTCAAAAATTTTAACTCTTATTGTTTTAAGCCGTACAACCTTTCTGGGTCTGGGTGTCAGGAACTGCCAGTCCTTATGGTGCTGAGGATCCACAGTGAACCCACAACCCAGTTCAGGCCAACATAGGTTCCTCAGTTACCATAAAAATAATCCCCAAAGCTGCAGCTCCAAGTACTGATGCTCCTCAACTTAAAACCTTATAAACTCACCCTAAGTTGAAAATGCATTTAAGACACCTAACCCACTGAATATCACAGCTGAGTCCAGCCTACCTTAAACGCCTCAGAACCCTACTTTAGCCCACAACCTTCCAATTCTTACCAGAACAGATGAACGTTCTGTAGACTTAATGGGATGGGAAAACACAGTATCCAAACAAATGCTGGCAACAGGGTGTACTGTGATTTACTCTTGCAATCACATGGCTGACTGGCAGCTGAGACTGTGCCCAGCATTTCGACAGTATTGTATCACCCACCTATCACTAGTCAGGAAAAGATAAAACTTTGGAGTATGGTTTCTACTGAAAACACATTGCTTTGGCACCACTGTAAATTTAAAAAATCACAGGTTGAATCATCTGTGGAGGAACAATGGTCCTGGCTTTAAACCCACCAGCAGAGTGACCCTGGTGAACTTGGGCA